CGCAGCTCTGGCCCCGCGCTCGCCTCGCCGCCAGGGCAGGAAGGAGGCGGTTACCCCCCGGCGGCTCCCGGCCTCGCCGGCGACCGCACGCACCTCCCGCCACCTGCGCTGCCGCCGACAACGCCGCGCCTCCGCCCCGCCCCTGCGGCTCAACAGCCGCGCTCTAAAGGAAACCTCCCGGCCTCACCCTTCACCAGACTCTCGGGCGGCACAATCTCAACGCAGGAATCCACTTTCCCTGCTGGCACCTTCACAGCTGCAGCTCCACTGACCCACGCTGGCCCCGGAGCTTCCCCAAACACACACTCCCACATCCAGACCTCACGTTTCCTCCACCGTTCCACCCCACGTTTTCCCCAGGAAAGTCGCAGGTGTCGCCCTCCGTAAATCCATTTTCTGCTGCCGCAGGAACAAACAAATAGCCGCAGGTAGTGCCTCCCTGGGGAGTCCCCGGCAAATTAACTGGGCTTTGACCCCCTCACATTCCAAGCACAAGAAGTCCACACTTAATTCTCTCTTCCTCCTTTTCCCCTCTCGTCCTGTCTCTCTCAGTGTCCTTCACCTGACCGGGAGCACTATGTTCCCCGGCCGTTTGTTGTTCAAAGGATCGGCACTTCCCCCCTGTAGTAGAAGAGTTTTCAGGGGAATAGTTTGCAAGGTAAGTTCAGAAGGCAGTCTTATCCAATGCGATTGGGTGTTCTAAAAGAACAGGTTATCTGGCCACTAGTTACAATTGCAGATGGAGTTGGAGCTTGGGACCCAGATTCTGCTGGCTGTTCTGTGAGGAGGTAAGGGACAGACAAGGTAAGAAGATATTGCATAAGGGACAGAGTTAGGCGACTGGCTCAGGGACAGGTTGGGGTTTAGCCAGTCTTTTCGAAGGAAGAAGAAAACACGTAGAGAGGAAAGAAGGCATCAGAGCTGTGTGAAGCAGCCTGTGAAGGAAGGAATCAGAAGTGTGAGCAAAGAACTCCATCTAAAGAAGGCATGTAGAGTTCTTAATGGTAGACTGTTGTTGGTGCCACACATGTGTCTCGACATAATTACTAGACCCGGCCTCCCACCCGGAGCCAACGGAGCAGCTGGAACAGCTGAAACAGCTGCAACTGCACCTGCTCGCCATCTATCCCGCTCTGCCGGGCACTGCGTCACCGGGCAGTGTCCCGGAGCTCTCCGGGTGACACACGCACGCACGTCACTGAGCCCACAGTGGCTCAGCTGGGGGACACCAGAACGGCAGCGGCCTTGGTGGCTGCGTGGCTGCTGCTCCGGCCACAGGGCACAGGAGCTCTCCGAGTCCGCGGATCTATCCCTCGGGAACCCTCGCTCAGCTCTGAGCTTCTTTCCCGCCGGTTCTCCTCGGGCTGCGCTATTGCCGCCTCACCAGCCCCTGCTGCTGCCAGCACCTCCCACACTACTCCGCCCTTCCCACCTGCAGCAGCTCCCCGAGCGAGCAGAGGCCAAAGCCCTCCTGCCCTGTTTCCCTCGCTCCCACACGCTGGGCAGCTGCCGCCTGCTGCAGGGGCCCCGTCTCACCTGCCTGCAC